GAAAAACAAATCTATTTTGAGTGAAAAAAAAGATAGAAATGCAAGAAAATAAAGAACACACTCAAATCAATCTTGAAGTGGAACAAGGAAGCAATCTGGAATTGGGAATTCAAGTTGACTTGGGATTGAAAACAATTCCTAATCACAATCAAACTTCCAAATTCGGACTTGCCAAATTCTTGCACACGTGAAAACCTCACAAATCAGCAACCTAATTTTCCAAAAATGAACCAAGAAACCTTTGTTTGAACTTCCAAATTCCAACCAAGGGCAAATTGGGTAGAGTAATTCTAGGATCCAAAATTTTTGCCATTTTGATTCTTTGTTTCAGTCAAAATTTGTAAACTGTCCAACCTTATAATTCTGAATTTGAGTATTTTTCAAGTTGTTTTTTGTGTTTAGAAGTACTCAAAAGGAGTCCAAATTAGTCTAGGATTTAGTTAGTTGATAGTTTTCCTAATTTGAGACACTAGTCAAAGTCCAAAAGTTTCCAATTTTGTGTCACTTCGTGCGGCCAAATTAGGGAACTTTTCTATGTGATTACTCGCTCCTTTTTTGAGTCCTTATTTCGGTCGCATTTTTACCCCAAAATCCCAGCAGGTTCCACAGTAGTTTGTCTGAGGTCTGTTGACTCTCCGTAAACCAGGAAATTATAATATCCGTAGATCACCACTAAACATCAATCTCCGTCCATTGATCATCCCCCTACTGGGCCTGAGCATCAAAGAAGTACCCAAGATTCGTTGATCTCCTCGACCAACTCTTGCCGGCTCAATTCTACCAACTAGCCCTGGATTAGGCTTATAACCCCAGATATTCAGGTATTCAAGATCTAGCTTATACCCCCAAGTATTCAAGTATTCAAGAGTGGAGTCGTTGGTTGTTATCCAACGCTCACGCAATTAATGATTGGAGACGTTAGTTGTGATGACCCCACCTTCTCCTAGGGCGTACCCCACGATTTAGTGAACACACCTGCCCACTCTCACCAGGACTTGCTCACTTACTTACAAAAAAAATAAAAAAAATAATTTACAACTATTGAAAACGAATGAAACAACAACTTTCAAGTTTAGAATGTACATTGATGCTTAAATTAAGCTCCAAAACTCATACATTTCCAAATATCTCAAAATATTTAAAATTTCAGATACATTCAACCCTAATCGAACACTAGCGCGAGTACAATCAAAAAATTCAAAAGCTAGACAATGTTAGCCTGTACCAGCCTCATGCCCTCGCTCGTACCCCCTGTAAAAAAAATAAAACTAATAGGTTGAGGTAAAGCTCGTGTGAGGTTCCAAAACATCATGCAGACCTAAGTAACAAGTTGTCCACTATTTAAAAGTGAAAATATCAAAGTAGTGAGTGTAAGAGTCCATAAAAATGAGCAATACCACTTCAAATAGCAAATTATTAGATATCCAACATTTCCAAGTAAAAGGATACAGTCTGCTCTCGGAGTAGGTTCCATGGCCACTTGCTCAAAATTTGTTGACACTCCGTCAATCATGGAATTATAACAAGTCCAATAGAACACCATTTAACTCTAATCTCCATCCACCAATCAACCTCTTACCGGGCCCGAACTCCAAAATAAATAGTGGTGTAATACTCGACCATGCAATTAGTCGAGGAGATAACACTCCACTCGACAAAACTAGGACCCATGGTTCGTTATCTAATCGATCAAACCTTTGCCGGCGACTCAATTAACTAGTCAGTGGGGTTTGGGTTACCAAGCAGTCAGTATAGTCGATGAGATAACATTTTCAATCGACTTAATCAAGATAAAAGTACGGAGACGGAATGAGAGGAACCTCCCGCTCTGATTGAGTGTGGAACATACTGCCACTCAGCACTTATAAGTCAAGCACAAGTACAAACACAAGTAAAAGTCAATCAAGTTCAAGCAAGTACAAGATCATTCAAGAATGGGAGGACGAGTGCAAATAAGGGCACACTCACCTAACCCTGACCAAGTCACAAATAATGTCTAGCATGTCACATTTCCAAACATCTCAATTATTTCAAGTCAATATACAGATAACATGTAAATCAAGTTACTTGTACATGCATGCATGAGATATCAAGTATTTAGTTGAGTTAAGTCAAGTACGATAAAGTACACACTCACTTATGAATATCAAAGTAGGTGTTTAGTAAATTTCTAGCAACAATGAGTAGGGAGCATGCAGTTGGAACACTCACCAATGATTTACTACTTTTCAAAATCAAGAGCAGGTTCAACTCCTTGGTTAGAGTCAAAATCTACGATAAAATATCGTATAGCAACTTGAAATCAATTAGGGTTTCAAAATATAAGAGTTTCGCTTAAAGAAAATCAAGTAAATAGAACTCATTTAAGTAGTATTCATTTTACTTATCAAACCCTAGAAAAATTATGCTAGCTCTTTTGGTTTCAATAAAGAAGCGATTAACACTTATAAGTTCACAACTTAGTAAAAAGAAACTAGGAAATCGTATTTAAAGTGGTCGCTACTTTCGCCCTATAAAGTGTACGAGTTTTGACAAAGATTTAGCTTATATACCTCTACTAAAAGAAACTTGAAGACTCTAAATAACCGAAGTTCAAGTCAACCACGAATCACTGCTCAAGTTTGTTTCCCATCATGCAAATATATATGTCCATATATTTATAATATATATGTGTATGTAGTAATAATATATTATATAATTATATTTGTTATGTATAATATAGTAATATATACTAAAAATTATACTTATTAATATATAATATTCTCTAGAATTATAAAAAATATTAGTACAATTACACAGTGTATTAAATAAAAATATATTATAATTTTTTATATAAATAAATTAACTAATTCTAAATTTTTTGGGATAATTTCATAAACCAAATAGCGGTCACTTCCGTAATGTATCACTTTCCCATAAAAGGCCAGCTCTTTATTACCTTCCTCCATTATAAGAACAATGCACCCATTTTTCCATTAATAGATTCATTTATCGGATAAAATATATGATAGCTCGTTTTGCAATAAAACCCCAGCTTTTTATGGCTTTTCTCCAATATAACAACAGAGTACCCTTTTCCATAAAACAATTTTTTTATCCAATAAAATTAAAATCAATCAGTAAATTATACTAAAATGTATATTATAATTTTTTATATAAATAAATTAACTAATTCTAAATTTTTTGGGATAATTTCATAAACCAAATAGCGGTCACTTCCGTAATGTATCACTTTCCCATAAAAGGCCAGCTCTTTATTACCTTCCTCCATTATAAGAACAATGCACCCATTTTTCCATTAATAGATTCATTTATCGGATAAAATATATGATAGCTCGTTTTGCAATAAAACCCCAGTTTTTTATGGCTTTTCTCCAATATAACAACAGAGTACCCTTTTCCATAAAACAATTTTTTTATCCAATAAAATTAAAATCAATCAGTAAATTATACTAAAATGTATATTATAATTTTTTATATAAATAAATAAACTAATTCTAAATTTTTTGGGATAATTTCATAAACCAAATAGCGGTCACTTCCGTAATGTATCACTTTCCCATAAAAGGCCAGCTCTTTATTACCTTCCTCCATTATAAGAACAATGCACCCATTTTTCCATTAATAGATTCATTTATCGGATAAAATATATGATAACTCGTTTTGCAATAAAACCCCAGCTTTTCATGGCTTTTCTCCAGTATAACAACAGAGTACCCTTTTCCATAAAACAATTTTTTTATCCAATAAAATTAAAATCAATCAGTAAATTATACTAAAATGTATATTATAATTTTTTATATAAATAAATAAACTAATTCTAAATTTTTTGGGATAATTTCATAAACCAAATAGCGGTCACTTCCGTAATGTATCACTTTCCCATAAAAGACCAGCTCTTTATTACCTTCCTCCATTATAAGAACAATGCACCCATTTTTCCATTAATAGATTCATTTATCGGATAAAATATATGATAACTCGTTTTGCAATAAAACCCCAGCTTTTCATGGCTTTTCTCCAATATAACAACAGAGTTCCCTTTTCCATAAAACAATTTTTTTATCCAATAAAATTAAAATCAATCAGTAAATTATACTAAAATATATATTATAATTTTTTATATAAATAAATTAATTAATTCTAATATTTTTGGGATAATTTCATAAACCAAATAGCGGTCACTTCCGTAATGTATCACTTTCCCATAAAAGACCAGCTTTTTATGACCTTCCTCCATTATAAGAACAATGCACCCATTTTTCCATTAATACATTTATTTATCAATCAGTTCTCTAGTAAAACCCCTTTTCCAATAAAACACCGGCTCTTTATCGATTTCCTCCACTATGAGACAGAGTACCAATATGCCATACTTACTAATTCACTTATCGGATAAAATTTAATTGAACACGGTTTGCAATAAAACACCAGCTATGTATGGCCACTTTATTTGTTCGATAAAATCGGATCGATATTATACTTGAGTGTCATTTACCCGTTACCATAGAATGCAAAGCAAGAAACTAACCTATTGCAGGTTAAAAGTCCGTGTTAAGACAAATTGTTTCGGATACGTCAAGACACCTAATTCATAAACTCTCGCGATACATAACTTTAATTACCACAAATCAAATATTTCAATCTTTTTTCATTTATTTCTAATGACTGCATACCATGGATCACTGTACGCTACTCATAACCACCCACAAATCTTCTCTTAACTCTCGACCACATGAAGATTGTGGTACTCGTTATCCCCATGGCAAGGTCTCCCCGCACCACCACCGGCGAGTTTGCTCGGTTGAACTTTGCTTTCCCTTCCTCTAATGAAACTCATGGATACACACCAACCGCTTGCCTTGCTATGGCAGCTTTTGGACTCTCTCTCTCCGTCTTCTACATTTTAGGCTACGACGACGTCCATCCGACTATGACACCGCCTAAAACATGGCCCTTTCCACAAAATGCCGCTACTTTGTCTCTCTATCTTGCCACCTTCATCGAACCTCAACTTTATTCATCTCCAACCTCCTGTGCGTGTTCGCTTTCCGCATAATTTCATGACGGACAACGTTGGCATCATCCAGAACCAAAGACAGTGCTACTTTGCGCCGCTCCTGCTCCGAATTGTACTGCACCGATAAATTTGTTACTATCTCCATCGTTCGCAACCAATGCAAGCATACACACTTACTGTTACAGCATACGACGCCATTCCTTTTTCCTTACCTGATTCCATTTCCAGCTTCCAATTCCACTTGATAACATATCCATGTACTTCAGCATCAATAACCCACAATCCCACCTGCATTACAAACCATAACCACATTTTTAGACAACCGTTGCTGAACTATGGAAAAAACTTCCAAACCTATGCACATGCAACTTACGCATTCCGTTGCTGTGGACATGTGGCTGCAGCTTTTATTTTGTACAGCCAAAGGCATGACGAATACTGCCCCTCCAAACCATAAGTCAGCGCTGCTTCCAACCTTTCAATCTGACGGCCATACAAGAAAAACATATGCAATTTTAAGTTTACTGCCACCAATTGTAAAGGTGATGGTCGTGTTCATGAAATGTTTGACAAACCAACTTAGTTTACCACTGTCTCCACGGAGCTGCGCCTATTCATTTCCGTTTGCTCGTCTCCTCTCAATGAATCATAAATTAATACTTCTTCGCTTCCCATGTCCACCACACACATATACCAATGCTCATCGTGCCACATTGGCACGAATATCTGAAGCATAGCAGCGGTTAGTTAGTCATCATCATGGCAATCTGTATCTATTCCATTATGCTACATAACAGGGCAGCTGCTCGTACCTTCTCACACTTTTTTATATTACCTCCTACTTTACATTCCTGTAGATATGTACAGTACAGCTCGTCTGCTGATTTGTTGAACTCCAAAATCTCTTGCTACAACACGACAGTAAAATATGACATTTCAATATGAATGTACGTACTCACAAGCCCCCAACTTTGGCCGAACACTTGTACCTGAAACCAAGTTGGCATGAACCACCATCGCATTGACTGATCGTCAGGACGCCTTTGCTGCCGCGCTGTTTTCATCGCACAATAGCAATTGATTATCTGCACCAAACTCAAGTCACATCACTTCGTCCTCCGTGAAACAGTCCACACAACACCACCCAATTTCAATCCCTCGATTTACTCACATCACATGCCATGGGTTTTTCAGGAAGCAACGACCCCATTGCATCCCGACTTGCTGTCTGCCCCTTAATTGACACCAGTACTTCCCTGTCATTACAACAGCGTACATTAATCTTTTCCCTATGTGTATTACGGTTTCATAATCTACAAACTTGATATCATCATTTTCAATGACTCGAGTTAAAACGGCCAGACTAGGTTCGGTCTTCCTCGCTAATACAACCAGCAATCACGGTTTCAATGACTCAATCGGTCCTTAGGGTCATTCAGTTAGCCTAAGGCGGTTATGTACTCACCATAAGGGTCATTGAGTTTTCATTGTACTTCCATTCTCAAACTTCTGGAATACTCACCTTTTATTCTATATGCAACCATGTTACCTACCCTTGCTTTTTATATAAAGGTGGCATGATTGACAGCACACAAATTGTAAGTTTTGTGCTCACTTGTAAACCAATTTTAACTGCTTCGAAGATTTTCGTTCCTATGCCCTCTCCCCTATGGGGATAATCATACTACATATTTAGTCAACCTTATAATTGCAAATACTTTTCTGTCCCCTTTCCCATTGCAATTTCAAATAAAGGATAAAACAAAATAGAACTGTTGATTTAACAAATCCATGATCCAGTACATACCCTTGCGACAGCTGAGTGTCAAACAAGAACTTCAGTATTTTTGCTCGTCCCTCACTCAATTTTCCCCCGATAGATGCTAGCCTCGTTTCCTGCTACCACAAAAATATGTCATCTTTCATTGTCTATAATTTCCCATACTTTAGTAATTCTGGAACGTTGGAATACTCACCTTTGCCAATAAAGCAACGATCTTCGTTTGACACTTGTTCATCACACTGCTATCCATCTGTACATAAAACTACAATTTATACTTTACTTTTCTAATGCTACAAATACCTTGGCACAAACCGATCCATACCTTTATTCTTTTACCTTGCCTTCTGTTTTGTTTGTCTTCCCCCACAGGCTTCTCCGTATTGTCCATCCTTAGTCTCTTTCTACTCCTCCACTTTGTAATTTTCGATGCACTCTTTTCACCCATTACAGTACTATTCGTAGTGACTCTATCATTTTCACTCCTGCTTTTGGACCTAACATCTGGCGTTGTAGGACTCAATTTATGTAACTCACTCCCTCTTTTAACATTACCGCGCCAATCGTCCTTCTGCCCACCCTCCACACCAAGTGCCCGGTTTGTTTTGCACACCCTTCCACTTTCATACATGCTCCTCAGCCTTTCAAAACGACATTCAATCATTGCTTCCATTCTACCAATACTATCCTTCACATCTTTATTACCACATTCAATTTCAATCAGTCTTCTATCAATGTCTTCTCTACAGCTTATGTTATTGTAAAACTGCACATTGCCCTGTCACTACAACCCTTCAGTTTTGTACTACTAGTAACGTCACAAAATGCAGATTGCAATTTCAACAACAATTCACACGAAAGGATTTTACATTACCTGTTCCCCCTCAAATATGTGATTCCTCCTCAATATTCGCACGCTTTCATTAATCTCGTACCTTCCCCAAAATCTTAGCCTCGGCCCTCTCGGCTGGAACTTGCGAAACTCGTCCTCACCCTCGATATAGAATCGTTCCAGATAGTAAATCTGCACGGACAAAAACGCCTACCATCATTTACGGGTCTTTTCTATCAAAGTTTAATTTCATTATTCCAGTAATTCCTATCTCTAATACAAAATGGTGCGTCTTTCTTATACCATCAAGAAAAGTGCACATCCCGCTATTCCGTTGCCGTCTCTATCACGGATGCTCTTCACCAAATTGTCAAGTATGAATTTCGACCAGTTCAAATTTTCCATATTCTCCTCTGTAGCCACTACAGCCACCAGAGCCCGGCTCACTTTGTCATCCAAACTTGGTGCTAACAACCTACCAACAACAAACAATACGAACTTCACTTTGAATTCTAAGCCTTCGTTATGCAAACTACATATACTGTGCCTCAATTCCTCCACTACAATTTCACCGCTATTTATTCTGATATTCAATTCTCTTTCCAACTCTGTATCCATCTCTTGCCTTCGCTTTTCGCTTTCAATATCTTTCCCACGGCTGCTCAAACCAAGTACACATTCCACATCCTCCGCTGTCACCTGTAGACAGTACCCATGAACGTTCAGTGTCCTCCGATCTACATCAAAGTTATCCACCAGCCACTTCAACATCTCTTCGTCAACCTCTACTCCCTTCACATTCAAAATTGACCCGAATCCAAACTCTCTGACAGCCTGCCGCTGCTCATCCGAGATCCAATCCACCATATTCTTCACGGAATGAGTTGAGTGGCTTACCATTGTTTCCGCCGTCCGACGAATGGCCTTCCTTTCACTGCTGCAACGTTTATAATTCGAAGGTGTTCCACTCTCATGCATCAGCGATACTACCATTGTTTCCGCCGTCCGACGAATGGCCTTCCGTTCACTGCTGCAACTTTTAAAATTCGAAGGTGTTCCACTCTGATGCATCGGCGGTACTACATTTTCGCTTTCTCCTTCACTGTCCCACTGCATCTCCGAAGCATCTATTTCCGCCGCCAGCTCCATAACAAATCCCTATCTTCTGCTATTCCTCCTGCTCAGGTTTTGGCGCTTTTTCCTTTCTAATACGCCTGCACTCTTTAGCTTATCCAGTAAGCTTCGCGCCTTTTTTCCATGCCGTACTTTCGCGTACAAACCCTCACTTTCCCGGTTGCTTAATTTCGGCCCCTCCACATTTGACATGCCCGGCTGGAGTCCTCTTCAACCCCCAATAGATCTTCCGGTTGCACGTCACAAAAGCCCTTTCCACGTGCCCGCCCAACACACTTCCCCTACCGTTTGTGGCCAAAAATGCTTGAATGTCTTTTCCGTTAACTTTCCACACCTCTGTTTTGACATGTAAACATACCGCAGCAACATCCCCTTTTACATCCAATAGAATGCCGAGTTTTGCCCATGGTTTAAACAATTAAGAACTTGTAATGAGGAACTTTGGCATACCAGTCAACTTGTTGTCGCCAAAACCTAAACCCATCAACATAGTTAGATTCCCTATTTCATTTGGAATTGCACCTGCAAAATTGTAACTTTTGTGAGTTTGATTTGACTTGTAATGGAAGTATATAATAACAACGTTAATGAGATTATTGAATTCTCCAAATGCATTAATTGAAAATGATTATGGCATGTCAATAACATAATGGGGGGAGATTTGACCAAATTATAGATCACTAACACATTTTACCCGTTAAATTGTTGCTCTCCAGGCGTAGTGTTTCCAGCGTTGTCAAGTTCCCAATTCCCTTTGGTATCGGTCCACTTAAATGGTTCCCAGACAAGGCAAGATACCGAAGCAGTGAACACTGAGACAGTGTTGAAGGAATTGGACCGATCAAATTGTTATATGCTAGATTAAGCCATGTAAGTTTCTGCAGGCGCTGACAGACGTCGTCCGGAAGAATGCCTGATAGGCTGTTATTCGTGAAGGCAATGATTTCCAGTGAGGAAATATTGAATGCATGGAGAGGCAAAGGACCGGAAAGCTGATTACTCTCAATAATCAAATTCTTCAAATTATGAAGATTCTGAAATTCTGTTGGAACGGTCCCCTCAATGAAATTCAAAGACAGCCGTAACGTCACCAAGTTTGACATGTTAGAGATGGAAGGCGGGATAGAACCCATAAAGCTATTGTTTGTGAGAGACAGGAATTGGAGTTTGTGTAAAAATCCAAACCAGGAGGGAAGCTCTCCACCGAGATTGTTGATCCCAAAATTAAGGTATCTCAATCTGCGCAAGTGAACTAATTCACGGGGCAATCCTCCATGGAAATTGTTCCTGCTAATGTTAAGGGAAACCAGAAAGGACAGGTTCCCAAGTTGAGGAGGTAAGGTACCAGTAAGGTTCATATTTGAGATATTCAAGGCAGTCACTCGGCGGTGTAGAGAGCCGCAGGTGACCCCTATCCAATCACAAACAGAGGAGGTAATGGACCAGTTTTTTGCCAAGATTTCTCGAGGCTCTGAATTGATCATGCGATCTCTTAGCGCAAGGAGCGCTAATTGATCCGTTGTAACATTACTGTTGCCGGCAGCCATCATGGCTAACGAAGCCAAGCTAAAATTTATCAAGAAAAGGTAGTGAATTTTGCCCATGGCCTCGCTCATTGATCAAGTTGAGATTTTTTTGACCGTAACTCACATGAATTGGTGTCAGCAGCAAAATCATATATACTGAAGACGAGCATGGAGGTCTTGATGACACAAAAACACACACATGGAGGTGGGGAACAGCAGTTAATGTGGTGGTCTCTAGCTATGATAACATCAATAGCAGAAAAATATACCCACTGGCAGACCGGTCTAGGGGTTCGGGAGAGGAGACTGGATAGGATTCGCCATCCCAAGTTAGATTCAGAAAATTTCATTTTCATCCCTTAAATGTTTTAAAGTTTTCAAAATAATTTTCTTTTTTTTTTTTGAGCTAAAATATTTGCTCCTCTATAAAACTTTGCAAGATCTTTTTATTATACCATCTAGTTCATATGAAATCAAAATTTCCTCCCAGAAGTAATATGTTCTGCATCGGGTCTATGCATCCAATCGAGATAGATGTTGCTGTGACGAAAAAGCATAGATGTCTATCATTCCATAGGGTCACTTTCTAGCAAAATATGTCAATTAAAATTTAATACAGCTTTGAAATTATTTGTGTACCCAAGGTGGGTAGAACATTAGTGCTTCAGTGAATGTGGATCATTCGTTGCTTAAGTAGTCTCTTGATCACTTGTTGCATTACCAGGTCAGGATTGACTAAAATTTGGCAGAATAGTCTTCGGAG